GGTTTTTTTTGGTGTTGAGTTTAATAAGTTCTTTGTAGATCTTGGATACTAGCCTTTTACCTGATATGTCATTTGCAAATATCTTTTCCCATTCTATGAGTTGCCTTTCAGTTTTGTTGACTGTTTTCTTTGTTGTGCAGAAGCTTTCTATCTTGATAAAGTCCCAATAGTTTATTTTTGCTTTTTTTCCCCTTTCCTTTGGAGACATGTCTAGCAAGTTTTTATGGCCAAAGTCTAAAAGGTTGCTGCCTGCGTTCTCTTTTAGGATTATGATGGATTTCTGTCTCACATTTAGGTCTTTCATCCATTTTGAGTTTAAATTTATGTATGGGTTAAGAAAATGATCCAGTTTCATTCTTCTACATCTAGCTGTCCAATTTTCCCAACACCACTTGTTGATGAGACTTTTTTCCCAATTGGATATTACCTCCTGCTTTGGCAAATAGTAGTTGTGAGGGTCTATTTCTGGATTCTCATATCATACTGTCTTGATGATTATAGCTTTGGAATACAGCTTGATGTCTGGCATTGTGATGCCACTAACATTGGTTTTCTTGTTCAACATTATTCTTTCTGGCTATTCAGTGTCTTTTCTGGTTCCATACAAATTTTCAGATTATTTGTTTCAACTCTGTGAAAGTGTCACAATTATTTTAATTGTAATTGCATTGGATATGTTTACTTTGGGTAATATAGACATTTTAACAATATCTACTCCTCCAATCTATCAGTATGGAATGTTTTTCTATTTCTTTCTGTCTTCCTCTATTTCTTTAATAAATATTGTGTATTTTTTAGAGTACAGGTCCTTTACCTCTTTGGTTAGGCTTATTCCTAGAGTACTATGTATTTTGGTGCCATTGTAAATGGGATCAATTCTTTAGTTTCTCTTTCTTCTGTCTCATTGTTAGTGTATAGAAATGCAACTGATTTCCAGGCATTGATTTTATATCCTGCCATTCCTGTATAAATTATATCAATTTTGGGCTGGAATCTTTTGGGTTTTAGACATAAAGTATTACATCATCTGTAAAGAGTGACAGTTTTATTTCTTTTTTGCCAATTTGAATGTTGTTTATTTCTTTTTGTTGACTGGTTGCTGAGGGTAGGACTTCTAGTATTATGTTGAACAATGGTGGTGATAGTATTTATCACTGTCATGTTCCTGACCTTAAGTTAAGCTTTCAGTTTTTCCCCATTGATAATGATAGTTGCTATGGGCTTTTGATATATAGCTTTTATGATAATGAGGTATGTTCCCTCTATCCCTACACTGTTGACAATTTTAATCAAGAAAGTATGCTGTAGTTTGTCAATTACTGTTTCTGCATCCATTGAAAGGATCCTATGGTTCTTGCCCTTTTTTTTATAAATGTGATGTTGAATTGGAGATGTTGAACAACTCTTATAGCACAGGAATAAATCCCTGGTAATAGTAAATAACCCTTTTAATGTACTGTTGGAGCCTCTTGGCTAGTATCCTGGTGAGAATTTTGGCATCTATGTTCATCAGGGATATTGGTCTGTAATTCACATTATTGGTGGGGTCTTTGTCTGGTTATGGATGAAGGTAATGCTGGCCTCATAGAATGATTTTGGAACTTTTCTTTCCATTTACATTTTTTGAAACATCATCAGAAGAATTGGTATTATATTTTTTCTTAAAGACTTTTATTATTCATTTGAGAGAGAGAGAGAAATAAAGAGAAAGCAAGGTGGTGGGCAGAGAGAAAAGTGGACTCCTTGCTGAGCAGAGAGTCAAAAGTGGGGCTAGATTCTAGGATCCTGAGATCATGACCTGAGCCAAAGGCAGATTAACCAACTGAGCCACATAGGCACCCTGGTATTAATTCTTTAAATGCTTGGTAGAATTCTTCTGAGAAGCCATCTGTCCCTGGACTCTAGTTTGTTGGGAGATTTTTGATTCCTGCTTCAATTTCTTTGTTGCTTATGGGTCTGTTCAGGTTTTCAATTTCTTCCTATTTTAGTTTTGGTAGTTTGTATGTTTATAGGAAAGCATTTTTTCTTCCAGATTGCCTAATTTGTTAGCATATAGTTGCTCATAATATGTTCTTACAATTGTTTGTATTTCCTTATTGTCTTATAATATGTTCTTATAATTGTTTGTATTTCCTTCATGTTGATCATGATTTCTCTGAACATAAGATATTCACAATGAATTTACAGAAGTAATCCAAAAGTTTAAGTTACTTAAACTTAACTTCTTCCATTATGTAAGAAATTCTTTTAACTTAAACTTTTGGATTACTTAAACTTAACTTCTTCCATTATGCAAGAAACTCTTTTAACTTAAACTTTTGGATAAATATAAATAAATAAATAAATAAATAAATAAATAAATAAATAAATAAATAAATAAGAAACGACAAATACCCACCATTTGCTTCGACGTGGATGGAACTGGAGGGTGTTATGCTGAGTGAAATAAGTCAATCGGAGAAGGACAAACATTATATGATCTCATTCATTTGGGGAATATAAAAAATAGTGAAAGGGAATAAAGGGGAAAGGAGAAAATGTGAGTGGGAAATATCGGAGAGGGAGACAGAGCATGAGAGATTCCTAACTCTGGGAAAGGAACAAGGGGTGGTAGAAAGGGAGGTGGGCGGGGGGTGGGGGTGACTGGGTGACGGGCACTGAGGGGGGCACTTGATGGGATGAGCACTGGGTATTATTCTATATGTTGGCAAATTGAACACCAATAAAAAATAAATTTAAAAAATACCACAATGAGATACCACCTCACACCAGTGAGAATGGTGAAAATTAACAATACAAAAAAAAAAGTTTCTTCTCAGCATCATTAATAAACTTGAAATTTAAAAGAAAATTAATTTTCTTAAAATTAATTAAATTAATCCCTTTTTTGTGATTGGCTATAATTATTACACCTAAAAATAACTAAGACTATCACATAGAAAAACTGGAAACAAAAATCCACAGTTTTTGAGAATGAAATAGAGATTCTGTTATTTAAGAGATGAAAAATACTACATTTAGATTATTTACTACAGAAATTCTTGCCACTTGCATGAGGCCATAAATTATATTAATTGAAAATTAGAAAAATCTTAAATATTTGTAAATGTGTTATGCTATATGTAAATTGTGTGATAAAATGAAGAGTAACTAGTAACTTACTAAGCCATATATATATATATATATATATATATATATATATAGCATATATACACATGTATGCTATATATATGTATATACATATGTGTATATATATATGCCATATATATATAATTGAAATAAACCATGAGACTGATAATTCACTATTATTTCTTATTTATAACTATTTTGGTGCAGAGAAATTCTATATTATTTAATCATATAATTGATATTTCTCATATATGTTAGATACTTAAAACCATGCTAATATTTACAAAAGATATTGATCATTTAAAAATTTTGCACTGCTAACCAATTAATTTACATGGAACTAAATAAAGATTTGTTATCCTATAGATTATGAATAAGCCCCAAACCTAAACATATTGATAATCATTAATCTATTGATTGCTGTCTTTGAAAGAGTTAATTTGTAAGGAAGAGACAAATGTCACAAAAATAAAAAAAAGAAGAGAAAGTAATTTGCATATGCATCTAATTCTACTACCATAGACACTTACTGATAAGAAAAATAAGTTTGCAGTTTTAGGAAGATGATAATTGAACCCTGAAAATCAAGGAGATGCTTCCTATTTTATTCACAGCTGATGCTGTACTTCTGAGTAATTTGAGGCATAAATTTATTTGAGCCTGTTTTAATTAACCAGTTATATAATTAACTAAACAGTTAATTAAAATGTAATAAACTTGCCAATTAATAGTTTAATCAGTTAATAAATTAATCTATCTCCTATCTTTAAGGATGTGTGACTACCAGTAACAAAGTGTTTAAGTCTACAAGTTAAAATATTTTTCTTATACTCCTTAGGGTTATATTCATTTATGAAATAGAATTTTTAGGGCAGCCTGGGTGGCTCAGCAGTTTAGCGCTGCCTTCAGTCTGGGGCCTGATCCTGGAGACCTGGGATCGAGTCCCACATTGGGGTCCCTGCATGGAGCCTGCTTCTCCCTCTGCCTGTGTCTCTGCCTCTGTGTGTGTGTGTGTCTCATGAATAAATAAATAAAATCTTAAAAAAAAGAAACTGAATTTTTATAATGAACACATTTAATTAAATTCAGCATTTTGCAGGTACATATCATTTATAAAATTAACTGTTGTGAGATCTCTAAACTGAGACAAATTCTCTATAATCATGAGTACACACCATGATAACATGGCCAATATGGTGTTAGGTACTCTGGAGCAGTATCTGTGGTAGCTGGGGGCCTGGTGTATTGAACCATGTGCTGCACACACATGTAAAAGAGAAACAGCCTTTTTTGTTTCCCTCACCTGCAAACTGAGTTATGGTAGTTTTACGTATAATGTTGGGTATTTTTTTAAATTAAACCAATTCTTCATGGCATTGAAGGAAATCTTGAGAAACTAATTTAAGCATATGAGAAACATAAAAAAGTTATAGTTAGGAGCTATATCACATCAATATTAATTAAATGCATGATTATGAGGTTCTGAAGACAGAAGTACATACACTTTAGAAAACTGGGATTAAAAAAAAAAAAGAAAACTGGGATTATATAATATTTCCTAACACCATGACTAAATTATGTATGGCATACTAACAAGATACATAGAAATAAAAGAAATGTGTATGGCAATACACACTTGTTATATGACTTTCTGTGGATTAAAAAATACTGTGTAATAACAACAGGGGTGTGTGATAGGATGCTAAAGCAAACGTCTTGTTGGGAAATGAAAGATTAAAGACATAATTATTCTCCCAAGTCTCATTTTGTTTTCTCTCATTTGATCACCTCTTCTTAAGTAAATGATTAACCTTCTTTCAAGCAGCTCTCATTTCCTTATCATTCTTTTTCTTTCAGGCGTGACAGGAACAATGGAAAATGCAAGTGACACTACAGATATAAACTTTATTCTTCTAGGGCTCTTTAAACACACTCCAATCCATTTGTTCCTCTTTTCCATGGTGCTGGTGTTCTTCCTCACCTCCCTGATGGGCAATGCCCTTATGATCATGCTCATCCATGAGGACCTCCGGCTGCACACGCCCATGTTCTTCTTGCTCAGCCAGCTTTCTGTCATGGACATGATGCTGGTCTCCACCATAGTCCCCAAAATGGCAGCCAACTACCTGATGGGCACCGGGTCCATCTCTCCTGCTGGTTGTGGAGCCCAGATCTTCCTGTTTCTCACACTGGGAGGGGGTGAGTGCTTTCTCTTAGCAGCCATGGCCTATGATCGCTATGTGGCCATATGTCATCCCCTGCGCTACCACATCCTCATGAATCAGAAGCTCTGCTTGCACATGACCATAGGTTCCTGGCTTCTGGGAGGAGTAGATGGACTGATGCAGGCTGGTGCCACTCTGAGCTTCCCTTACTGCCATTCTCGGGAAATAAACCACTTCTTTTGTGAGGCACCCACACTTGTGCGCCTTGCCTGTGCTGACACTATGTTTTTTGAGTTGTTCATGTATGTATGCTGTGTTCTGATGCTCTTGATCCCACTGTCTCTTATTCTGGCCTCCTACAGTCTCATCCTGGCTGCTGTACTCCGCATGCAGTCCACAGCAGCCCAGAAGAAAGCCTTTGCCACTTGCTCCTCTCACCTGGCTGTTGTGGGGCTTTTCTATGGTGCCATAATTTTCATCTACATGCGGCCCAAATCCTACCATTCAGTGGCCTATGACAAGGTGATCTCTGCTTTTTATACCATCTTCACACCTGTGTTGAATCCCCTTATATACAGTGTGAGGAATAAAGAAGTCAAGGGGGCTTTGAGAAAGTGGCTGGAGAAACATTTTCTGGGACATCTACAGTGAGAATAATTTGATAAACTGGCAGAAGCCAAACTGGATCCAGATTATAAAATTTGTGTTCTATCAATATATTTTGCTCTCACTTGGTCAGTTCACACTTTTTAAAAGATTTTATTTATTTATTCATTCATGAAAGACACACACACACACAGAGAGAGAGAGAGAGAGAGAGAGAGAGAGAGGCAGACACAGGCAGAGAGAGAAGCAGGCTCCATATCGGGAACCTGATGTGGGACTCGATTCCAGGTCTCCAGGATCACACCCTGGGACAAAAGCAGGCACTAAACTGCTGAGCCACCCAGGGATCCCCAGTTCACACTGTTTTATAAAACAACTATTTCTTTTATATTTGGTAAATTAAAATTTACATTTGTCATGCTTGCATACATCATTATAATATTTTTGTTCTGGACTTTGGACCTCAGCAGTAAGAGTGAATGATTGAGGCACTGTAAGCAAAAGATATGCTAGACATTGATAAAGGCAATTTTCAACTTTTAATGTCTATGGGCCCTCCTCATGGGCTTGCAAAGAAGTGAAACTTTGGGCAGACTGGGTGGCTCAGCAGTTTAGCGCGGCCTTCAGCCCAGGGCCTGATCCTGGAGACCCGGGATGGAGTCCCACATCAGGCTCCCTGCATGAAGCCTGCTTCTCCCTCTATCTGTGTCTCTGCCTCTCTCTCTCTCTCTCTCTCTCTCTCTCTCTCTCTGTCTCTTGTGAATAAATAAATAAAATCTTTAAAAAGATTAAAAAATAGAAGTGAAACTTTAACCATTACCAGAGTCAGCAAAACCACACAACAGGGATTCAATTTCTGCCCTGGGCACAGATTGTATATCCAATTCACTTATAAATAACCTAAAAGGGACCAGTTCAAGTATAAAACCAAAAATAGGACCTCCCTGAGACTGAAGCCACACAGTTTTGCTGATTAACTAAATCGTAAGGTTACAGTCCTAAAATAAGATAAGGTATATAACTTTCTGAAATGTCTTTCATCTAATAATAAAACATTTCATGTTTTATGTCCTTAGTGAAGACTGTGTATCCCAGGCAACTCTGATAACTTGAGCTGGGAAAAAATAAAAGCGAAACCAAAAACAGAACAAACAACAAACAAAAAGTTCTTTCTTTAAGAGGTTCTAAAAGATTTGTTCATTTTGTGCCAACATCAACTATGTGTGTGTGTATAACTTTCAGGATGAATTATTTAAAGAGTGATTAATTAATCTGTAAAAAAGCAATGCATATACTAGGTTCATATAATTTTATAAAATAAATTTCAAAGAAACAGTTACATGAATATGGAACAAAATACATAAAGATCTTATAGAAAATATTATCAAATTTTTTTTCTAGAAGAGCATTTTCTGTGGGTATACGTGAGTTAAAAAATCATTATATACAAGGTAAGTAGGTTGAACTGTGTACATTTAAATGCTGTTTATATGTAGTAATCACTGGTTGGCTCAGTCAGTAGAACATTCAACTCTTGATCTCAAGGTCATGAGTTCAAGACCCATGTGGGGCATAGATCTTACTTAAAAAAATTACAGTAATCATGAATAATTGAAAGGAACATCTCTATCTGAAAAAAAAACATTAATTAAAATAATTCACACATGGTAGATTTAAACACATAAATCAACATAGACAATAGCTTTATTCATCAGAGTAAGAACAAAAATCCCCTTTTTTCCACATATTAAATATATATTTTTCTATATATATTTATATATAACATATAGAAATAGAAAATATATATTTATAAACATAAATATATAAATAAAAATATATAAATAAAAATAAAAGTAAATATCTTTGATCACAAGGAAAATCTTAGGGCTAAAGGTCTCACCTTCTTTTATGGTTAACTAAGGAAATAATCTAATGGTCTGGGAGAAGATTTATACTCTTTCTGCAACTTTTGAGTTGTAAGTTTTAGGGTACTAAATTTTACAAAGCAAAACAACACAACAAAACAAAACAAAACAACAACCAAAAAATAAGGACCTATAGCCTACAACTTTTGGTTTTAAGGAAATACCACTTTAAAAATGAAGAAAATCAAATTAAAATAATCTCTTGTCAAAATTCCAAAACTCTGAATTTTAACATCTGAATGAACTACTGAGTCTAATTTATATAACTATCTCACGTCATCTCAAACAAAAGAACAAATCTACATATACCCAAGGATTAGAAAAAAATGCTGTTCAGTAGCTTGGATAACTATGAGATTTTGTTCCCAATAAAATTTCAGGTCTTGGAAGCTGAAATGTAAGAATGAAAATTTGCATTCAATCATCATTCTTTCAATTAAATTTAATGAATTAAATTACTGAAGAATGAATGCCAAATATGATATCACATATCAGTCTCAAACATAATTCATTCTAAATTGATACAATGTAAAAATAGGCATTATGTAGAATTATATGCTTTAGGCTTCAGTTATTTGAAAATTATTTATGGGAGTGTAGTTGAGTAATCCAAATATTAGAATATGAGTTCATCAAACAATTTATGCTGATAAATGGTTAGAGAAGTATATATAATTTATATTTATACATATTAGTATTTGGTATTAGTATGTGTAATTTTACATATGTATATATTTAAATAATATGTATGTGTATAAGTTATCTTGGAGATGAGTCTACAGATTCACTTGAGTTGTCCCAACTAACACAAAAATGAAGTGTCTATCAAACTTTGCCTAAACAAGTTTTATGAGCAAAATAAATTAGTATTATTATTTTAAACCACTAACATTTGCATTAGCTTGCTATACCACAATATTAACTACAATATATTTCAATTCCTGGAAGAAACTAATACTAAAATCATACCTTGTTTTCATAGGATCAGGTGGTAGTCAGAATACAAAAATAAACCAAAAGCAAAACAAAACAAATCTCAAAGAAAATGTTAGCAGAAAATTAAGGGCCTTGAGAAGACAGTTGCTGAAACTAATATAATGCTAAATGTTCATTATACTTAAACTAAAAAATGAATAAAAACATCTCTCATCATCAGGGAGATGCAAATGAAAATTACAATGAGATATTACCTCACATCTATCATAATGACTAAAGTAAAAAACACAAGAAGTAACAATTTTTGGCAAGACTATGGAGGAAAAGAATCCCTCCTGCAGTATTGGTGAGATGCAAACTAGTGCAGTCACTCTGGGAAACAACATGAAGGTTCATCAGAAATTTTAAAATAGAACTACTCTATGATCCAGCAATTGCACTACTAGGCATTTACCCAAATTTTATAAAAATACTAATGCAAAAGGATACATGCACCGGTGTATTTACAGTATCATTATTTATAATTTTCAAGATATGGAAGCAGCCCAAAATGTCCATCAATTGATGAATGGATAAATAAATGGCATAGATGATAGATAAATCTTAATATATATTAAGATATATATAATATATATCTATATATAGATCTTAATATATATATATATTATATTATATCACATATTATATTATATATAATATAATTATATATTTATAATTTATTAATTAATATATAATTATATATGGTATTATAATTATATATTTATTTAATATTGTATTATATATTATATATAATATATATCATGATATATATTAAGACCTATAGATAGATAGATAGATAGATAGATAGATAGATAGATATAAAAGAATGGCAAAGGATACAAACGTAGTTATTTGAGAGGGCACACATACCCCAGTGTTTACAGCAGCGATATCCACAATAGTCAAAATATGGAAAAAGGCAGATGCATAAGGACAGATGAATGGATAAAGAATAGTCATTACTCAGCCATCAAAAGGAATGAAATCTTTCCATTTGCAATGATGTGGATAAAACTAGAAGGCATTATGCTACGCAAAATAAATCTAAAATGTTAAGCAAAAAAGAAAAAAATATATATACATAAAATCTTTTTAAAAAGATTTTACTTATTTATTCATGAGAGACAGAGAGAGAGAGAGTGAAAGAGAGGAGAGACATAGGCAGAGGGAAAAGCAGGCTCATGCGGGGAGCCTGATGTGGGATTTGATCCCAGGACTCCAGGATCATGCCATGCACCAAAGGCAAGCGCTAAACTGCTGAGCCACCCAGGCATCCCGAAAATAGACACTTAACTCTGGGAAACAAACTGAGGGTTGCTCGAGGGGAGTTGGGTGGGAGGATATGGTATACTGGGCGATGGACATTAAGGAAGGCACTTAATGGAATGAACACTAGGTATTATACGCAACTGATTAATCACTAAACTCTATCCCTGAAACTAATAATACACTATATGTTAATTTATTTAAAATAATTTTTAAAAGAATGAAATATTGCTATTTGTAACAAATAGATGGAGCTAAAGAGTATAATACTAAGCCAATTAGGTTCAAGAAAGATAAATATCATACAATTGCACTTATATATTTATAAGAATTTAAGAAACAACAAAAAATGCACAAAGGGAAAAAAATAAAAGAAAGTGAGAGCAAAAGAGAAAGAAACAGACTTAATTATAGAAAACAAACTGACGGCTACCAGAGGGAGATTAGGTTAGGGAGGCAGGAAAAAAGAGAAAAATTATGCCACTTACATAAGCTTCTCGTTCATAGGGTGTTGTGTCCACACAGGACAACTTCAACATGGCAGGGACTTCACAGAAAAAGTGATCAATGGCTCTTGAACCACAGAAGGGAAAGTACAGGGCATAAGCTGTGTGGGCTATGGAGTTGACGGTCCCAACAAGCCAGGACCTTGCAGCCATGAGATTGCGGACATAGTCATTCATAAGTATGGGATAGAAGTATGGGATAGTGCAGTGCATGACAGATGGCTACATAGCGATCATAAGACATTGCCGCCAGGAGAAGGCACTCACCATCCAGAAGGAGGAGGGATAGAAATATCTGGAAGCCACAACCTGCAAATGAAATAGTTCTGCCTGAGAGAAAGTTGGTGATCATTTTGGGAACAATGTTGGAAAT